CTCTTTAGATGGGCACTGTCCAATATGGCAGCCACACATGGCTATTGAACACCTGAAATGTGGCTGGTCCAAATTGAGATGTTCTATAAGTATAAAATACACATGGGGTTTCAAAGACTCATTGTGAAATAAATAATATAAACCATTGCATTAATAAATGATATTAATTACTTGTTGAAATGATAACATTTTTTATATATTTGGTTAAACGAAATATATTATTAAAATTAATTGTGTTTGTCTCCCTTTACTTTTTCAATGAGGTTACTAGAAAATGTAAAAATGCATACATGGCTCATCATATTCAAGTTCTATTGGCTAGTGCTACTTTAGGTGATGAAGACAACCACTGTCCAAAGAGTTCTGCAACCCCCTACTCACTACTGCCCTGTCCTCAGGTACAACCATGTGGGTTACGGCCCAGTCCCTGCATCTGAGAGTCAGGAGACAGTTCCATGTGGCCTCTTTAGGTGGCTTTCTGTGGAAGGCTTCTCCTTTTCCTACATGCTAATCTCTCATTTCTAGTTAAATTTGTAACCCCATAGGTATGTGTGAGTGAATACACACGAGTGTATATGTGTCTGTGTGCACATGCACACTTGCATATGGGAAGTCATAAGGAAATAGTAATGTGTAACAGTGCATTTTCCCCAATGAAAAGGAAGAGAACTCTGCTAGGTTGGGGGTGGGGAGTGCTTTCTCCTCGACAAAGGAAACCTCAAAGTGAACTGCTCTCTCCCAAACTCTGACAAATGGTACCAACCAGAGGCAGTTGGGCCAACCCTGCAACTAAGAGGGTGTAGAAACACAGATACCGAGGAGAAGCAGGAAGTCCCTTGGAGGAACCCAGGTACCAGTTTTCAATGGAAAACGAACCAGTTCAGGGGCAAAAAAAAAAGAAGCCCGGAGGCCCTCACACAAGGTTTGGCCCACTCCTTTAAAACCAACCCAAAGCAGGGCAAGTTTCACTGAGCTGCAAACGGAAGCTTGCACTAATTACTTGCACTAATGCAGCAGCCTTTGGTAAATGAAGCACAGCTGTCCAACTCAACAGCTTGCCCTGAGCACATGGATCGCCAGGGCCCGGTTTCCTGGTAGTAACTGCAAACAAATGTGTGGTGCGAAGGCCTCGCTACTCCAGGTGTGATCCCTGACCAGCACCACCAGCATCACTTGGGAGCTTGTTATGCAAATTATTGGGTCCTACTCCAGACCCAAGTTAAAAAGATCCTTGTTAAAATGCAATGAGATCCTCCTGTGATTCCTGGACACATTAAAAGTTTGAGAAGTACCTGAAGTTTAACCTCCTGACTGTATTCATTTGCTTAACAACCGGTTTTTGTAAATAGAACAATGGCAGCCTTCACTCTGAGTTAGAGTCTCTGGAATTAGTCCCACTGGGGCTCTTTCTGTTTTTCTTTTTCTTTGGGCTGTAGCTAATAATACAAAATATTTTTCATGTAAATCAGTGGTTCCAGGTGGTTCCTGGATAGGAGCCCTGTAACAGGGTATAAAAAGCCAGATATTTCTCTTATGAGTTTCCAACTTAAGTATTCCCTGAGGCAAATAGCTTTGGCTTAAGGCAGACAAATAATTTTATGTAAAATAGATGAGTATCTATGTAACTATCACACTACTTCCATGTCCCATGTACATCAAAATAAGGGGGCAAGTTGCCAAAATCATCTTTGTTTTAGAATGTCACAACCTGACACAGGAAAAAAGGACTTTCACACCAAAACTGAGAAAAACAAATTAATCCACATACCTTTCGTATTACTTAAAATTCTTCTACTGCCAAAAAAAGTACTGCTATATAAAAAACCCTTCAGTATCCCTTAACTGTTTTTATATCCTTCCCAGAGCTTATGTTACCACTGTGATGATCTGATAAATCTCAATCCAGTTACCCCAACCAAGGAGTGAAAGAAAATACACAATGGGAATATTAAGTATTTTGAAATAAGACATTAATTCTTCAATGGAATTATTTGCAAAAAAAGGACATTTGGGTTCAAATATAAAGTTTCAGACTTGGTTTAATTCTCCAAAGTATCAAAAAAAACAGCAAAACTCCAGGTAAACGGATTTAGATTTATGGTATTCCAAAACCAACTTCAGCACAAAACACATGGTTATGTATTACATAGCAACATATAATACCAATCAGTTGGTATTATTACGTGGCAGCTCATAAAACCATGTGAATTATCATAACTCAACAGACTTTTTTATGCCTTTGCCTTTAAAGTCAGTATTTATTAACCACCTGTATCCAAGCTGCTTATATATTCATATCTGATTGACTATAATGGCTTGTTATTAGTGAAGGGGAGCAAAATATTCTGCTCCAAAATATGCCTCTTTGACACACTGATTATTTGGGCCTAATTATTTTTGAGAGGCTGCAGACACAGGAAAAGCTATGAAAATGAGAGAAATTAGCATTTATTGGGTTGTTGGAAAAGTCATGACATATTTTTTCTATGTTTTTTGTTGCAAAAATGCATCATGACTTCCGACAACCCAATATAAGGAAAATCTCCATTGTAAGGGTGTCTTCCTCTCTGTACCAGGAAGGGGAGGATGACTAAATCTCTAGATTATCAATGGAGAAGGCATGGACTTAAATCTGCATAACAACCATAACCTTGTTTACTGTGCTTTTCCTAGTAATCCCCCTAAGGATCCCCCCCAAACATCTTTTGTCTTTAGCTGGGGATGGTATATTTAAGGTGATGGTTTGGCTCATTTCAGGGAGTTATCCAGTTGTCCTGGGTCTCTCCCATGTAAACAGAAGGTATATGTGTTATTAGACTTCTCTGTTTTTCTCCTGTTAATATGTCCTTATTACAGGGGTGTCTCAGCCAAAAATCTAGAAGGGTAGAGGGAAAAGCATTTTTTCCTCCCCTAAATTAGTTAATTATGCCTAGATATTTTGCTTCATGCCATTTGTAAAATATAATTCTTCACAAAGAAAATGCGCGCACACACACACACACACACACACACACACACACACACACAAAACAGCCAAATCCAAATTTCTTATTCAAAATATACCCCTTCCTCTAATGCAGCTGAAACAGATGGAGAAGAACACACTGCCAAGGTGAGGAATCTCTTTAAGTTCGAGATTTTCAACCTCACCTAGACCTTTACTGCCTCCTGGCAGCCATTCTCTATTTCCTCAGGTTACTCCCTCTCCCATTCCCCTGGACAACTATTTCAGACCTTCTCCTCTCCCCTCTAACCTTCGACCTGAACCTCTGTCCTGAACTTAAGACTCATACCTACTGCCTCCTTGACATCTCCACTTGGAAGTCTGACAACATTGCAAATTCAACATGGCCAAAACTAAACTCCTGATCTTCTCTTCCAAACCTGGCCTTCCCACAGTATTCCCCTAATCAATTAACAGCAACCCCATACTTTCATTTAATCAGACTCAAAGCTCTCACCCTCAGATCCCTCATCTAATCTGTCAGCAAATTATGTTGGTTTACCCTTCAGGATGTATTCAGAATCCAGCCCCTTCTCACAACTTCCACTGTTTCCACCTGGTTCAAGCCACCATCATCTCTGGCCTGGTCCCTTCAATAGTCTCCTAAATGTTCTGCCTGCTTCTATTCTTGACCCCCTACAGTCTCTTCTCAACAAAGCAGCCAAGGTGATCCTCTCGACATAATGCAGGCCACATCAGGCCTCTGCTCAGGAGCCTTTTCCGTCCACAGTGCCTTAGCTCCCCACTTCGCTCAGAGGAAAAGTCACCATCCCGGCTACTGCTCTGACCTCAGCACCTACTTCTCTCACCCTCACTCATCCCACTCCAGCCTCATGGTCTTCCCTGCTATTCCTGGAGCACTCCAGGTACATCCCTGCCTTATGGTTTTTGCTGTTCCTTCTGCCTAGAACACTCTTCGGCCAGGTAGCTGCCATATCTAATTCTCTCACCTCCTTCGAATCTTTGCCAAATGTCATCTTCATAGTGAGGCTTTCCTTGACCATCCTGTTTAATCCTACAACCCACCCCACACACCCACACATTCTAGCATTCCTGATTCCTCTTTACCCTGATCTTTGTTACTTTTTTTCTAGAGTCCTTACCATCTTCTAACACACTTATTAATTTATGCATTGTTTTTGTATCATCTGTTCGCCAGTCCCCCCATTTAGATGTCGACTCAATGAGGTCAGGGATCTTTGTTTTGTCCTCTTATGTATCTAGACACCCATGTGTCTAGAACAGTGCCTGGCATATAATAGGCTGTCAACAAACATTTCTTCAGTAAAATGAATGCAACTAAACCTCAGCTTTTATTAGATGTATCTGGCTGGGCCATTAGTGCCATTACAGCAATTACACATAGCCAGGGATCATTGGTACGTGGAAGTTCATTACAGTAACTGTTCTTTACACTTTCGTATGTTTAGAAATTTCCAAAATAAAAGGATTTCATTTTACATTTATGAAAAAAATAGACACAGAGTTTTCTGTGACATCAATGTCACACCCCTTTAGTTTAAAAAAAAAAAACATTGTAAGAAGAGGAGAAAATCACCCGCACCTTACTCTATTTCTAAGCCACTTAATAGTTGTTAAATATATTACAAATCACTTCATCTCTGGGTCTTCAACTTCTTCACCTCTAAAACAGAGAGGCCTGACTGGAAAACCCCTTTGTGGTTACACTTCAAATACCTGATCAGAAAATGATCTAGGCCCTTTTTTTTCCTCAGAACAGACTTCATACATTTAATTTCCACAGGAGAAATTCTGCCTCTCCGTGGCATGATTTCATGCTTGCTTTCTCACTTCTAAATTTTCATGACTAGATTGTATGTTTGCGTTTTTAGTTGAGATGGTACTGTACATATTCATCTTTGAAGTGAAACTGTTACAGCCTAAAGAGCTGGAAGGCTGACATTGGCCTGTTGAGCGTACCCGTCTCAGATCTGGACGGCTGCCATTGTTTTTACCGGCCGGGAGCAGCACTTACCATCTCCTTCTTATCTTCCTGGAAGTGCACATCCACAAACATTTTCCCAACAACATAAGGAAGGGCACTTTCGATAAAGTTTACACATTTGTCCCACTGAGGCAACAAAGTTGTGGTCCCCTGGATTACCTGTGGGAGATAATCAATCCAGATTGAGTTTCACTTGGATAAAACCTATGGCTGAAAAAAAAAACAAACTCAAACAACCTTAAGAACACAGTCAACAAAACACTGCACACCCCAACCCATATATATGTGTCAGATTGGAGAGCCAAAGGTGAAATTAGATAAAGAAAACAATTCTGCTTGTCCCGTTATACTTAAAACTAAATGAAAATATTTTGACAGTGGAAAATCATGTAGTTCTCCTTTCCTTCCAATTTTCCCCATTAAACAAAGGATTTGGACAATAGCATAGCTCTCCCGCAGTTTGCAGGGATGTGAGGGGATACTGTCCAAGTGTCCGGATAGTATTTAATATCTATTGAGAACTAAAGTTCCATCAAGAAAGGTCTAGAATCAATAGGTGATCAAAGTTCTTGCCCAGCGAGGGTTTCCTTGCTCTGGGTAGTACACTCATGAGGAGAACATGGAAAACATGGCCCACCATGAACAACCCAGGAAGCGTATCTGCATTGTGTCGTAGCAAAAAAAACACTGGTAACCAAGTAAAAAACAGATGTAAATGTTTTCCCCATCTGTCCCAATTAAACCATTACAAGAAAACATTTACAAACAAGTAAGGAGGTTCCAAAGCAGGATTTGGAAGGCTCAAAGGTTTACTCTTGGGGATGAAAGCAAAGAAATAAATATTATTTAAGTTGCCCTTTGGAGGTTGGGAGTTCAGAGCACTCAAAACGCAAAGCGAAGGCAGGCAGTGAGGAAGGGAGGCTCTGAGAATGGTGGCTGGAGGCATCCCTTGAACAATTTTAGACCTGGACTGTAGGTACAGGGCGAATGGAACTAACACCTAAGTTTATCTATTCTCCCTCTACTTTCTGGTAACACAATCCCTCTCAGAGGTAAGGACTGAATCCATTTTTAAAACCTCTAGAGAAAGAGACCCTAAAACTTTCTTTCGCAATTCAATATTATATTTAGCACTTCATGCTCAAGAAACGCCCTTATATACCCAACCTCAAAATTTTCATACACTACTTCTTACACCTGTCTCTCTTATTCTTGTCCCAGTGGGAGTGGAAAAAAGCTGGTTACCATCTTTTATGTGGTCCATAGGAGTCAAATATATACTATTTGTTTTATAGTTCAATGTGTATAGTTGTTTTATGCTGTTCTCTATAGAGCTCAATAGTCTAGTGACTCTAAAGGGCCAAAATCTATTCAAAATAACTGTTACTCCTCAAGAGTAATGACCCACTAAGAATTTCGGTACTTACCAGTGTCTCTGATAAGTAAAGCATCTGACAAATGAAATCATAGCTTATAATATTCATCATTCACTTAACTTCAAATTGAGAAAAAAATAAAAGTTTTTAAAAGTCACAAAATCCTTAAAATGTTTAAAAAAAAGGCCACAAAATTCTTAAGTCCTCTAGTGATGGGAGAATTACTCAAACAAAAGCCTCTGAAACAAAGGCAAGAGTAACACCTATGTAAGATGAAAATAAGAGCATGAAAGAAGCAAAACTCAAAGAGGCAGATTGGGGGCAGGGGGAGACGGGGAAGAAAAGTGTTTCCGGCAGTTAAGCGAGGTCTTGGAGAAGACTAGATTTAGGCCTCTTCTGCCTAGGATAGACTCAAATATTGAAGACAAAGTTTAAGACAAAACTCTATCCCTAAATTAAAGATGAAACTTTACCATCTAATACATAAAGCATACACATTTTGAATATTCAGAATACTGAAATGAAAGATAGTTACAAATGCATCACTGAGAAATATTAAAACTGTAATTACAGTGACCCAGTTAAAAACATTGGGGAAAAATGGAAATAAGTTGATAAGCGGCAGAGAGTGAAAACAATGTGATGGTCCCAAGTATTGCCCTAAATATCTTTATAGGGCTTGAGTGTACTTTACTGTATGTAAGATTTACCTCAACAAAAAGAAATAAAGCAAAAAAAAAAGTAGAGCTTGGGCTGCAAAACTCCCTCCACCCAATCCCTAAAGATGATTTTTGTTGTTATTGGATTAATTAATATATGGGTTGCTCCGGAATGTAAAGTTATCCAGTTATGTATTAATGACATTGCAATCTTCTTAAAACTTACCCTTGAAAATTCCAGCCACCTATACTGGAAGCGCCTGCTAAGGTTTGGAATTCTGGAATAAACCATCCTCCACACCAAATAGTTGGCAATGGTCCTGGTAACAGAGAGAAATGCACATTTATTGTATTTGGGTTGCTATCTGAGGCTATGCAGAACCCCTAAGGGAAAACTGTTGGCAAAACTCCATGGAGGGACCTCTTGCTCATACAAAACTGCAGAACTTTCACTTGAGAAATGATACAATGTCAATAAGCTTAACCAAAATTGGCTTGCTTTTCACCACCTACTACAGATAGATGAAGATTCCAGCTCCAGGCCTCACTGAGAATATTTTGCTTTTCCCATTCAGGGCATGGAGTCCACTATTGCCCAGTCTTCATGTCTAGAAATTGTGGATACCTTCAAATTAGTAGGTGATTTGATAAAATAATTGCATATGAATTCTTATCTTTGGAAACAAACAGCAATATATTGGCTAATACCAATTATCTAGATTTGCAGCCTGGTTCTATACTTACTGGACATGTGAACTTGGGCAAGTTACTTAAGCTTGCTGATTTTCTCTTTCCTTGTCATACAATTGGGATGACCCCTACCTTACAGTGTTATTGTGAGGTTAACATAAATAAGAAAATGCTTGATGAACAGTTAATTTCATATTTTTGTTGCTTCCAAACATATAAACAACCCCTTAGGCTCATATGATGCCCATAATACAAATTTTTTAAAATCCATTACGCTTTGTTAAGTGTTGCCTTTTTCTATCAGCAAAAGATGCCTTGACCTCAGAAGGATGTGTGATCTGAGTTAATTTCCAACTCAACAGTGATGATGAATTTTTAATGACCCATCTCCTCCCAGCTGTGCCATTACCACGGTGACTAATAACACATTCCTGAAATGGCTCTTGGGTCAGCCCAGCCATATGAGAGCAGTGTGACATGATGGTAACTGGCCCATCAAGAACAACTCACACTCGTACTAGGCTTATCGGGGTGATGACTTTGTACATTATACAAATGCCTAATCATTACATTGTACACCTGAAACTAATATAATATTGTATGTCAACTGTAATTTAAATTTTTGTACCTTTTTAAAAAAGAACCACCCACATTTTCATTTGCATGGTGCTCTAACCCAGTAGACATACTCTCCTAGCAATAAAATATTTTCAGCTATTTTCATTTACATACAGATGAACTATGCATATTAGGAATGTCTTAACAAATGTAGAAATAGAAATTTCAAAGGATAAAATGAAATAAAGATAACTTTAAAAGTCATTATTAATTCTGCAAACATTAGTTAATTCTTCAAGCCACGTTATCCACATAGGATTAGGGTAATACAACAATGACAATGGATGTAAATCCACATTTCAAATAGTCCTCTTGATTATTTCAAAACATTTTGGACCATATCCTTGTCAGATCTGGTTAAACCACCATTGTTTTTACCTTGTCACCTGGCTAACCAAGATGGAATACTAGATTGGGAAAAGGGCCACTTCTCCCATTTTCTTATCATTCACTTGTGCTTATTTTATTAGTAATGGCTTCAATTCCTGTTTCTCTGCATGAATTTTTAAAGCCATTTGTCCATTTTTGAGGATTAAACCAGATAAGAAAATTCATATATCTATAGGTATACGTAAACAGCTCAAGATTATTTTCAATATACCTAATGAAAACAAGCTACCAAGGGTGACACCGACCCCCCTCATGTGTGTCATACAGATCAAATGAAGGGTCTATGGCCACCTATATAGAACTCAATAAAGGATAATTATTTTTCCAATAAAAAATAAAGGCATATAGAAGTTCTAAAATTTTCTTCTCGGATTCAGTGGATATTGTTGGGGTCTGTGCATTTCCCCTCAGAGACCACTACTCTCATCATCAAAGCCCAGCCCTCATCCATGCTCTATTGAGGCTACTGCAATAAACATGCAGTTTTAGGTCAATCCTTTAGATTTTGAGTTCACATCCCTGCTGCGTAAGACAAGAAGTACTCACTGAGCATTTACTGTTGCCCAAGTATTGTTCCAGATGCAATGAGGAATGTAAAGAAATAGGAACCCAGCACCTACATTCAGAGAACTTAGAGTCTAGTTGGGGGACAGAGGACTTGAGATGTCGGCATGTTCATATAATCAGGTTTTTTTATTGAAGGGACACAAAGTAAGTACATAAGGGATCCTCCTTTCACCCAGTCAGCACATCCTGAGCAGCCAGACACATACTAATAGTTCTAGGTACTGGAGGACGGAAAGGCGAGAAAGACAGAGTCCCTGATCTCCTGACACATTTAGCTGAGTGGGGGGGAAATGAGACAAGTGCAGAAATAATGATCTGGCAGACCCTGTCACCCAAAAGTGCGTGCCAGACACTTCGCTGAAAGGAGCGGACACCTCCAACTGAGGGATAAAAGTAGGCTTCGTGAGAGGGATGGGGCCTGTGGTACGCCTAAAAGGTGGAAGGCATACGGGTGTGAAGCAGGAACATGAACTGTGGACAAGCTAAGTAACGCATGAACGGCTCATGTGTTGGAGGGGTGGGTGAGCAGAGTCGGCATGCTCGGAGGCAAGCCCACAGGCCAGCTACAGTGGCGAGATGAGGCAGTACTCAGGGGCCAGTGTACACACCATCTATAGGGCGGAGCCTGATGCTAACCACGGTCTGCAGTCATTCAATTTTCAAATACTGCTTGCTGGATGTGAGAGCTCTACTGGACCCATGGGGGCAGATGAGAAGGAGGTCCATGGCCGGCAGATATCCTTATGTGAATTCCAAAGATATTCCTTCACGGGGACTGGTGAGCCAGATTAACCATAGAGATTGTTCAGATGGGGCCTGGTGGTGGCAGAAGAGGCACTGCAGGGGAAGTGTGCTGGGGTTTTGGAAATGTGGGCCTTTCCAGCTACCTCGAAATCATATCACATCAGCATGATCTGTAACCCCACAGCATCCTATAGGAGAGGTGTCATTGTACCCATTTGACCTACAAGGAAACTTGAGGTCTAGAACCATTAACTCATCATGATCATTTAGTCAGTGGGTCTCCAACTTAATAAAATCACCTGGGGAGTTTTAAAGGTCCAGATGTCCAGGCCCCCTCCCCCAGGCTAATTCAACCCGAATCTCTAGTGTGGAGCCCACCATAAATATTGTTTTCCGTTTCCCCTAGCTCAGCCCCACAAGCAGCCAAGTTGGAGAACCGGTGTAATCGGTGATGGAGCCCAGACGAGAGCCAGGTGTGTCTCCCTCTAAGCCTGTGTGCTTTTCCCCATGCTGCAGTGATGAATTCATGCCTGTAATTCAGCAGAAATGTCCTGGCCTGTCACAGAGACCCCCAAACACTCTGACAAAGGCACTTGGCAGAAATCTGTGGGTACGAAAGAAAGTGTGTGAGGCCCTCAGGGGCAAGGCATGACTAAGACGCTAGCACAACAATAAGCCCTTGGAAAACGGGCTGAGGGAATGAGTGCGGGGAAGCTTGCCCAGAGACAATGGCACTGAATAGCTGCTCCAGTGTGTTATAAATATACTGACAGGGGCGTGCACAGCTTTGGAGAGCGAACATTACCACTCCAGAAGATCTGACCATAATGACTGAGTCATTGCCACCTAATGCTCAGACACGCCAAAAAAAAAAGCAAAACAAAAATCACACTCAGCAACACTCCTTGAAAATACCACGAAATATCTTTTTTTTTTCAAAAAGCATTTTCAGCAGCATGGTAATTTCCCCAAATGACAATAAATACAGAAAAGCAAAGCATCTCAGGAAGAATCCCACCACTAAGACAGCAACGTGAAATAATTTCCAAAAACCTCTGACTGGGAAGATTTTAAGCTTTTGCTGCCCCTTGCTCTCAATTAATGACAGCTTAGACTTATATTGCATGTAAGAGATCAGAAAGTACCTGTTTTAAGCCTCATGATGATGCTATGGGGTGGTTCTTATTATTATCCCCATTTTCAGATGAAGAAAACAAAGGCCAGAGGTCAAGGGATTTCCAAGGATGTGTCAAATCCAGGACTAGCATTTGGGTCTTCAGAGTCCAGAGCTTGCATTTGCTCCTCTCAGTCTTACAACCTGTGGTGAGCTAAACAGGTTCTTCTCTAAGGTTCTCAAGGCCAAAGTGATCTTCCTAAATCGTAGAGGCCGCCCAAGGTTTGCCAAGCACAGGGCTTCCCAAAGCGTGTCCACAGACCAGCAACATCAGCATCACCTGAGAGCTTGTTAGAAAACTCCTGGGCCTGCCCCCAGACCTGCTGAATCGGCAGCTTGGGGGATAGGCCCAGCAGCCAGTTTTAACAAGCCCTCCAGGGGGTTCTGATGCTTGTCAGGTTCAAGAACCACCGGTTTAGGAAAACTCCATCTCCTCATCCTTCTGTGCACATAGCTAAACTAGGACTTTCTAAGTCCCAGATTGGTGCTTCTTACACGCTAATGTGGATGTGAATCCCCAGGGGATCTTCTTAAATTGCAGATTCCGATTCAGTAGGCCTGGGGCGGCGCCTGAGGGTCTGCATTCCTAACAAGTTCTCAGACGAGGAAGGCCCATACTGCTCTCTGTGGGCCATGCTTTGAACAGCGAGGCCCTGGATCACCCTCAGCATTGCTGAAGCCTGTAAGAGGTCTACATAAGAGCACGTTACCAGATAAGCCTCTAGGAACATCTGTCCTCTACTCTGTCTTTCCCCATCTGCCAGCTGAATAGAGAAGACTCGTAAGACCCAGAGAAGGGCAGAGCCACAAGACACGAGAAGCCTGAGTTTCTGAGTCACTACTTGGAGGAAAACCACCTTACAGGGACACCCACATTGGACCAAGAGTACAATTTTGATTGTGCAAGCCAATGAGAGTTTAGAGGTGCTTATTACAGTGACTGGCATGTCCTAACAAACATGGTAACTCTGGGGACCCAAGGGGACATTTCTTTGACTGCCCTTATAACGCAGCACAAGTGAGGACCAAACATGATTATCAGTATAAAAAGCTTACTGTGATATGCAAATAAAGTATTATCAATCTTCTCAAGATGTACAATAGTATCTTGAAATCTCAAAAGAATATGCAGAACAGAAGTTGTTTTTGATGAATTGGTTGTTGAGGAATAAACTATGTGAAAGAGATGGTTTTTGTCTTTACTTAAAAGTGAAGTTTCACAATGTCTGCAGGTAATTTTTCTATCTATATTTTCTTCCACTGTTGTTCACTATGTTTACAACTGTCCAAGTTATCATTTTGAGAAGAACCAGACTAAAATCCCCCTTTACTCATGGCTTTCCTTGGTCCCTTTTGTTATGACAGGTCCTGCAGTTCTAAAATATAATCATCACCATAGAGATGATTTTTCTAATGCAGTAAACCAAGGCCCAATCTATCACCTGGTTGTAAATTAGGTTTTTGGAAATAAAATTAATACGATTTCTTAAAGTACCTACTAATTTACAACTGAAGGTCATACAGGCACTAGAAGAAACCAACTCACTAGGTCTGAAGAATACATATATAGCATGGTAAACTCCACCTTTCATCAGAAATTACCACCACAATTTAAAATGTGCCTAGTAACTCAATGGCATAGGAGTAGAAAATCATTTGGGTCATATTTTATAGTATTTCAGAGCTAGGAAGTACATATGAATAAGTCTTCTAATGCAGTGAGTCCCTCAAAAAAGAATCTAAGCATAAGACTCTCCTGGGGTGCTTGTTAAAATACAGATTCCTGGGCCTCACCCCAGATCTATTGTATCAGCCTCTATGGAGGAGAGGCGTTGGAATCTGTATTTTTACCACAGGCCGAGGTGATGCTGCTGTTATTACTGGTCCATGGAGCACAGTTTGAATGGCAAGGTTCTACTCCACACATACACTTATCTACCTCTAGATCCAATTTTCACTTAGAGAATTTTCAAAGAATCACTGCTTATTTCTGGTAGAATTTTAAGTGAATTGATTGTTTCTTCTCTCCCTTTTCTGTATCTCTACTGTTCTGTATGCTTTACTCAGTGAACACACAAGAGTATTGCTTTGCCATAAGATACCATCTTAAAAAGAACAGCAGCTCCTTAATGGTGTCCAAGTGTTTCAGTAGGTGGGGATTCTTAAATTTTATTCCTAGGACTTTTGCAGGTGCATTTTTTTAAACATAACTCCTCACATCATAGCCTTGTCTAAGTCCAAATCAGAAAATATAAGTTTTAATCATGGCCCAGCAATTAGCCTAGTAAATGGTCTTTGCAAATTAGTTGACCTTTTTCTGCTTCCTTTTCTGTAGTCAAATGTGAATTGCTTCGCGAAGATGTAAAATTCTCTTTCCTGGGCATTTTTAGGGTTTCCTTGTTTTGGAGTGCTAAAGTTGCAAAAGAACAAATTCTGAAACATTCTTTCAAATACGAAAAACCTGACAGTTATTTCATCAGTGCCATCTTTCTACAGCTCTCAGAGTGATCTTATGTCTTTTCAATAGAGGTACTTTGGTTTATTGCCATGAAGTGACTTATTGGCTAAAAAAAAAACCAAACCAGGATGAAAAAGCAGCAAAAGACCAAGAATGAACTGGAAAAAAAATGTCCACATAGAAGTCTCAGAAAATAACATCATTATATAACTGGTTCCCAAAAGTAATAAACAATTTAGGTTTTCAGAGAAAAATGTGTGGAAAAAGACCAGAAATAAGGAGCAAAAATATTGTGTATTTGCTGTCATTGCAGCAAGTCATCACAGCAGACGATGGTCTGGGCCACTTTGTCACAAAAGGCACCATGATTTTCCCCAAGACTCTTGATGTAGCTTTCATTAAAAACAGTTTTCAAAGGACACAAGGGGGAAGGCCTTATCATTTAAAAGGAAAAAAAAGTCACAGTAAAATGCACAAGAAAGCTCTTACTTCTTCCTCTCAGAGCCTAATATCCTAAACAAATCCTTGAAGTACTGCGGGACACGGACTACCACGTTCTCGGAGGGGCCGATGTCTTTCAGGTCGGGATAGAGTCTGGCATCGATGACCTTCTTGATGTAGCCCAGCCAGTCAAACTGAGGAGAAAGAGAAAAACAGTGAGAGATCCTCTTGCTAGACAGCAAGCGAGGAGAAAAGCAAATATGTAGAGTCGGTTGAACATGATCCACTGCTTGTAATTTCATACCAAATAATTAAAGATGCAACTGCTCAAACCTAGAAAATAAATGCCTGATCACTGCCACCCAGACCTACTGCCTTAGTAATAAATGGAGCACACGTTCTGTACCATCTGCGTACGGACAACACATACACACTCACCCAGTAACACGTACACTCACTCCCCTGGGCCCTCTAGCACTCTCCCTCCCTCCTCAACTCTCCCCTCCTTCATCCTCTCTCTCTCTCTCTCTCTCTCTCTCTCTCTCTCTCTCCCATACTCTCCCTTCCGTGCTACGCTCTCCCTCCCCTTCCCTCCTTCTCTCTTGCACTCTTCTTCCCTCATGCCCTCACCCCAGCCCCCTTTCCCCTGCACTCTCCCGGCTCCCATACTTATCCACTCCCATGTCTACACACACAGGTGCCCAAGTACATCACTGCCCTTCTCTCGGGCACAGTCTTTCTTACACAGGAAGCAAGCAGCGACAAAAAGGAATTCTGTCCCCTCTTCAAAGCATCACTATCTTGCTGTTTTTAATTGGCTATCCCAAAGGTAATTTCCAACTTTTTTTTTTTGCTCCCTTGCCTGCCTCCATTATTGAAATGGAAAACTACTTACTCACTGGCCCAGCGTTCCCTGTAGGTAGGGATGGCGATGTGCCCCAATTCTACTCAATAAGAAATAAAGGGAAGACATCTGGGAATAGGCTAGAAAGGTTTTGGGTTTTCCTGGTAAAAGAGTTAGACGTGGCCACCACTGGCCCTTCCCACTTCTTCCCGCCCTGATGGCAGATGTGATATATGAACTTGTAGCCACTTTGCAACCTTGAGTCACCAAACATGAAGTCAAAAACCTAATACACTAAAGTGGAATGGAAAGAAAGAACTTTGGTGTTTGTCGACATTGATAAACAGCTAAAGCAACACCAACAGCCATGAATGTCTAGACTTTTGTCATGTAGGAAGCGGGCTGTAAGTTTTTAAGCCATGTTGGAAAGGTTCCCTGTCCCCTGTAGCATAAAGCATCTACATCCTGATGCACATCTGTGCATCAGGGACATTTTGCGTGATGATGGGCAACAATGATGACCAAAAAGACTGATAGTAGGTTTTACAAGGCAAAACTTGACACACAGGTGAAATACAGTCACTTGTAAAATGACCAGTTGAAATAAAATGTCCTGGATCATTGTCACCAACCTGGGGAATCATAGCACTCAGTTGGGAAATGTTCATTTTGTTGTACATGGCCTCGCTGGTTCGGTTTTCATGAGGAATCATTATCTGTTGGAAAAAGACTCTGGTTATTTTTTCGAAGGAACCATTTCTTACTGCATGACTACTTTCTACATGTGCCCAAACATCTGCACCGTATCATGGCTTTTCAAGGTTTGGGTGTGGTGTCGAACTTGGGAGAGGGAAAAAAAAGACATCACTTTAGGCAAGATCGAGGAAACGAAAAGAAACTTTCCTGGGCCGGCCGAGTGGCGCGATGGTTAAGAACTCGCTTGGGATGCCAGAGGGCCCCAGTTCGGATCCCACATATGAGGGCCAGTGACACTGC